GCTATTCCGCAATATGTTGAAATTTACAGAGATTTACCCCCTCCAAATAAATAGAAAAAAATCAGCGGTGACTGTATCACGCTGCGCATGTCGCGATTCATGCAAGTTAGAAGAGCAGGTGACGTATTCCTAAATGACTTCTTAAGTTTGAGTTGCCCATGAGACCAAATTTTAGCGAATATATATCGTGTGTATATCCGTATATAACAAAGATATTAAGTTACGTACGTAAGATATGGTGAATTCTGCCCGAGGGACCCAATTGACGACGCTGTTCCCTCACGAGCGCAATGTTTTCATTGACTGGCCACATTTGCTAATATGTCGGGCATCCTTAGGAAATCCTCTTGTTGGACAAATTATACCGAAGGTGGCCGTTCATTTCAGAGCAGCACCTTCTGTAAATTCGGCCACTCCGAATAAGTAATGGAGACAAGACGATAGCGAATTGACAAAGTGCTTACCCGTGTACTTGCTATCGTCTTGCCTCCTTTTCTCGTTCTGGTTCATTCGAATGTATGACCATTTCTGTAACACAAACTCACTCAAACAACCACACTGTTGAGTTTTGTTCTGTTTGCTTGCTGTAGACATGTTGAGCTTTATACCAGCTTGACTACCTCCTTTGTGTAAGTTCTTTTTGAGGGGTGTAACTGAAAGTAGAAATATGCCTATGAACCGTCATTCCGAGCTGAGGGGAAAGGATTGTTCAACGCTAATTTTTCAGCATAAAGTAAGCGTCCATTTCGAATCCTGCATGTAGGTTGTTTTTCCTCTTGTTGTCGTGTTGCTATTAAAATCACCAATTATCGGACGCAACAAAGATGCGCCCCAGTGCATCATTGTTGGAATTTCGAGTTATATGTTACTTTATTGACAAAGGTAAATAGTGTACGCACTTAAGTATGCTATTGTGGGATGTTCAAGTTTTGCTAAGGAGCGATATATGCCGCGTTGCTGCCTGTGCGTGGCATATACACCGGGACATCAACATGATGACGATAATAGAGGTGATGACAACGAGTCTCCTAGAGTGCTTGAAGTTAACCACATTACTTATTTGTTATATAAATATGTAACAGTGTGTTACGTCCCACATACATATTAATCTTGCTCTTGTGTTCTGCCACGTGTTAGTGTAAACAGAGGCGAAACGATGTAGAACTATTCCGAAGTCCATATCCAGTTTTCCTCACTGGCTCTCTATGATTTATGTGAAATGTACTGGTGGATTCCCACAACCCTCGTGTGTCACGTGATGAAATGAAAAAAATGAAAATGAAAAAAAAGTGCCACATCTCAAAATGACTCCTTAGGCACGTGGCACGTATAGTTACGCCAATAGGTTGTCCTGATACAGTTACACCTCTCTGTCAGTCCTCTACCATTGGTCCGAAAGTTTTGGTCGTGAGACGTCAAAACGTTAGACGTCGAAATGATCTGCATACGCTGACCATCTCATTTATATGCGGAGCGAAATCCGCACGTTCAAAGAATAGCCAGGTAGTGCTCTATTTTAATAAAAAAAAATGGTTGCCTACTAATTGGACTGTGGTTGCGCATTGCTGATGACAAAAATTAATCTATTAGCGCCTATCTACTAATCTTAAAGAGCTTATAACTTCGTCTAGAAGCCTTCGCTCAATACGAGGTTGCCCCGGGAACTCTTTTTCGCCAAAGAAGCATTTTTCAATGTCTTTCTGCAAGCTACCGCTAATTTTTCAAGCCACTGCAGGATACAAAATCGATGGGAAGGAGAGTCAGTTGGAGGCAGGTGCTACCTTGACCAACTCAGCCCAACCAACGCCTCTTCGCTTCGGTGCACTTATCGAGTCATGTCATCCGGTAGAAAATAAATCGTCTTAGAGTAGGCAACGCTATTCATTTACCAAGAAAGTTAAGAGGATTTTCTGGTGAATCGTAAGGGTGTATGATTGAGTTATTCGAAAGTTGCTTCACGGTTTTCACCAGAGCTCGCGTTGGCATTTCTGAATGAATGAAAGAAAGAATGAATGAATGAATGAACAGACTTTATTTCTGAAGAGTTACAAAAACACAAAGTGAAGCTAAAGGCCATTCGGCCTGATGTGGCTTCGCTACGCGAAATGGCAAAACGTTCAGAAAACAGTGCTACAATAAATATTGTCAAAATACAAGGAGCAGCAAAATTATATAACACAACAAAAGCACAAACATTTACAAAATATGCTGCATAGGCATAAAAAGTCAGACATCGAGGTTATTTCCATTACGTAAAAATAAATTCAAAAGACACACACTTACAGTAATGAATTACATATTTATACATTAATTTATTATGCTCATATATTCATCTACACATATGTAGGTACATACGTCTGTATAAACACGGGTTTTGTACCTAAAGGTGAGACAGTGTAATATATGTGGAACCTAGCCAGGAACATAATGTTTACTTTATTTCATGAAAGAGCTGGTATTAGATGTGATACTTGAATTTCGTTAATGTGACTTTAAAGTTTGTTTATTCACCTAAACAATTTAGAAGCTGTGGGGCGTGATATGTAATTAGAGCTCTACCATTTCCAATCCTGGTAGCAGGGACGTGAATTAGTTGCTTACGGAGCGAGTTTCTGAGGGCGCATTTCTGTACTGTCATCGTGTGGAGTTTGTTTTTATGAATGTAAAGTAATAGCTTATATTCATACACCTGTCTCGCTTTGTGTATACAATGATTTTTTAAATAGCAGACTGCTAGACATCTACCTTGGGTTACCACAATATTTTTCGAATAGACAGAAGACTTTTTTGTGCAAGATTTCCTTTTTGTTTAAATTCTTGTCACTTGTGCCCCATACAAGCATACTATAATCCGAACGCGAATAAAAAGAGCGTAGTATATCTTTCTTAAGCCAAATTGGTATAAGTGTATTTAGTTTAAACATACAACCAACAGTCTTGCTTTGTTCCGATGCGAGACTCAACTTTGAGGCCTGGCGGAACGGGAGAAAAACAGGACGGAACGGTTGTACGTCATTGCACCCTTGAATTTAATAAAAGCGCGTACACAGGACGTACTTCTAAAGTAAAAAATTAGCCAAATAATATGTTAAGTATATCTTTAAAGAATGTGGCAAAGAACACTTACGAGCTTTGGAAACCCAAGCAAAAGTTTATGTTACAAATATTTAATTATTGCATACAAAGGTTCCGTTTGCGATCACTTCGTTAAATTAAAAGGAGGACCGTAAAGATTAACGAGAAGGTGTTTTTACGCCATTGGGACACAAATTTATACACATGCACGATGCCTATAATCATGTAGCTTTACTGAGATACGCCAGTGACTGTCTTCCTCCGTTTACTTTGCTTGGTATTTCGAATCGACACCTCCTTCTTTTTCAGATATTTTGGTTAAAAAAAAGGAAGGTATAGTATTTAAAATATTTATTCGCTTCTCGCTCCACCCCTAAAACAGAACTGGCACGCGAAATCCTGAAGTTTTGTGTTTGTCTCTCAAAGGCGGCGAGTTTTTAAATGTGAACCATTTCCTAGGGTTGATCCACGAAAGATAAAAAAAAAAAAAACATGGTATACTTAACATCTACGATTTTCTCAAAATTTTGCACATAATGCCAGTATGACTGAGCAGCTCAAAATCACAATTTGTTTTAAAATAAAAAAAAAACTTCGAACCAAGGAAAAATTGAGAAGCGTTCCCAAGTGATGATGGCCATTTTACGAAAAGTGCATTTTCGTAAATTTTCAATAAGTATAATAGCGACGCAACCTGTATATGACAAATGTGTTTCTACGTAAAAGTAGATGGAATAAAGAAGCAGATGACTTGATGTTCTATAATTCTGGGTAACTTAAGTATTTTTCAAACATCTCAGAAAACATTGTTCTTGAAACTTGCTCGTTCTTGGGCTGAGTGGCTGTTGATATTTACAGCACTGATAGTGCCTTTTGTTAATAATTATACCCTACATTTAAATTTGTGTAGTATTTTAAAAAATTAAATTTTGTTGCTAAAAACATAAAAAAACAAAAAATTGTTGGTAACTTTCAAAATATATAACAAAGAAGACCACTCTCAATTTCGACGAAAACTATTTAAAGTTCTCTTTGAGGACTGAAAATTATTGTATTATACAAACATGTTGTATCGCTTTCAGCAGAACAAGCTGAGAAAATTTTCGAACATTGTGTTTTCCGAGCGCTTTCGCTACCGCGTAAATGACATCTCTTGTGGGAAGAAAATAAAATAACGCCCTTTTTTTCTTCTCATATTTTGCAAAATAACAATCAGGAGAGTATTGTCCACCAGTGGAAAGTGTTGTTTAAAAAGTAACCCCCACCCTTTCTCCAGAAAAGTTATATATGTAGGCTTTAACGTCCCAAAGCCACCATATGATTATGAGAGACGCCGTAGTGGAGGGCTCCGGAAATTTTGACAACCTGGGGTTCTTTAACGTGCACCCAAATGTGAGCACACGGGCCTACAACATTTTCGCCTCCATCGCAAATGCAGCCGCTGCAGCCGGGATTCGATCCCGCGACCTGTGAGTCAGCAGCCGCGTACGTTTGCCACTAGGCCACCGCTGCGGGGCGTCCAGAAAAGGTCCCCGCCCTAATTATATATACGACCCTTATAGGGGCCCACACGAACTGTTTGTTTGAATTAGATTCCTCATAAAGGGACGCAGGGCAGAATTCATCTATACGTTTACTAGGACGAGTGTAAAGTGCCTCGCAGGTAGATGATGATCCACATTGGAACTTAACTGGCTCAAAAGGCGGCCCTCTGAGCATACCGTGACTAACAGGCACCATGACTTCCGACACCTTCTTGTATCAGTGGTCACCTTCCGCAGGATAAGCGGGAATTCACTTGCAAGCTCCTGTGCCGTTTGTAGAAGGTGCTTATTGCCACTTCTGAAAGCATGCTCTGCGAGAGGAACGAGCGAAATAGCTGACGCCCATTGCGCGGTGGTGGTGGTATACTTCTCTGCGTGCAGTGCTCCTCTCCAACGGCCTGCTGCCGGCCAACATCTTGGAAGGCAGCCTGGTGAGCGTCGGCTCCTACTCTCAATGCCTCAAGGCGCGCGTGCTCGACGACCATGGACATGTGAAGTTCAAGGGCCAGTACTGCTCCCTCTTCATCAAGCCCGCCAGGTTGCTGCTCAGAACGCTCGCCGATAGATTTCACATGACGAGTGAGCTCACGGTGAGCAATGAGTCAGATATATTGTTCTGTCACATTTATTACTGACGTTACTCTATTATTGAACCTTTAAAACATTTAAGGGTGTAAGTGTTTCGACTATATATCATGCGTTATCCGATCACTGCCCCATATACTGAAAATTGATGGACAAAAAGTGGCATAAAGAGACAACAAAGCCACGTCCATAACGTCTACGTGGAAGTCACCAGCTAGTGTAAAGAATTTGTGCTTGCAGGTGCTTTACATTTTTCTGTCACATTTATGATTAATATTTCTATATTGTAAACCTTTTTTTGCGCCTCACATATACCGCCCATTACCGGAACGTTGCGCCATATAATGTAGCCACGACAATGGACACAGGACAAGATATAACCCCTCACGGTGCTTCGCCTTAAGAAAAAAAAAGGAGGCGGATTCTTTTGTAATAGAAATACTATAACACGAACATGTACGAGTTTTAACACAGATGGTTGCGCGTTTGTCGGCATTGCTTCTCCAAAAGGGTGAAGACATTAATGAATGCTATAGCAATAAGTTGCAAAGTCACGGGAAAAACGGCAAGCAGCTCGAAACTTGCTGTGCACTCCTCAAGCAGAGAAGACGCACGAAAAGCACACGAAGACAAGCGCGAACTAACAAGTGCCAAAGCTTGGAACTTGGAGTGGTTTTCTCTAACATAAAGAAGGACATTTGAAACGAACACACAAGTATACACAGAATGAGCGCGAACTAACATCTGTGACAATTGTCAGTTCTCTGAACAGCTCACTCCTCTCGCAAACGTGGCCGCTGCAACTAGCGAAGTGACCTTTGTGTTCTATGTAACTTTAACGCAAACTTGCTGTGAAAACACAAGACGTACAAGTCACCCGCAATGAGACAAGAATATGCACATGAGCGACCGCGGCACGCGCCCATTACAACCCACGAGGCGACAACCTTTAAAGCGCCCCCTTAGTGTCCTTCGTACCATTTCGCTAGTGATAACACCATCCTGAAGCCACTGATATCGGATTACCGTCAACGGTGAATGGTCTATATAAGAAGCTCGCCATTAAACCGCTGAACAATGTACCTTCTGTGGCCGAGGTGATTCGCGCCGCGCGCTGAGAGTGAGGGGCCGTAGGTTCGACTACCGGTGGCAGAACGTTTAAATACGATAACCATTTTTCGAATACTTAAAAGCTGAAGTTTTAGTCTGTCTGTCTGTCACATGGTTCAGCCACCCGGCCAAAGCTTAAGCACTTGCTAAACACCCAGCCATCTTGAACTTGTGGCATGCGTTCATACTTGTGTACATTATCGATCGAAAAAGGAAATATCACGCGTATCTGTGGCACATCATCAATACGTAATAAGTGGTGCGTTCTTTTACTAGAAAATACATAGATACATAATTATAAAGAACCTAGTGTTTCTTAGGATGCGCTGAAAATGCGATGCTATGCACTCACACACACACACAAAAGCCGACGAAAGACTATTGTCTTTCGACAACATTTGCAGCGAAGCAAGCGGATACGCGGCCAATGTTTTCTTCTAGTTCTTTTTCTTCGCACTTTGTTATTGTAAGTATTACGACGTCATATCCGTGACGAAAATAAGTTTCTGGAGTCATGATGTACCCCTGCATAAAACACTTCCGCGATCGCGTGGTGGCATTATACCTAACATTTTATGGAATCATTGCTAGAAGCTTTCATGAACTTCGGTAATGAATTCATTAGGAAAACTTGGGCCCTTAAGTAATACAGTCAAACAAATTGATGGGAGCGTATTGTTGGTGAGCCACCAGCACAGACCAAACACAATAAAATGTGTGTTATACAGACCACTACATCTGGTCCTGCAAGTGCTTTTTCTCTAAAACGAGGCGGGTCATTTACAATGTAAAAAAGCAAAGAACATTGTTAATCTCTACGTCATAAAATCAGTAAAAAAATAAAGTGAAACGTGTCCTCACAAAATTTGTTCAATGTAAAGCTGTGCGGACCTGTGGTAGTACTAACATGTCAATTATACGTACGTTTCAAGCACCCAAGGAACATAGATTGAGCTTCCATGAAAAGTCTAAGCGTTTAGTGTTTCTCAGTGCTTGTCGATGCTTCGAAGTATTTAAAAAGGGGCACTGACAAGAAACATTTCAGTTGTTTTTCCGGAATATCCTAGAAAATGTACTGCTAAATTTCAGCGCACATGCTGAAAATGATTTACAGTATGTTTTAAAAGCTAGTTTCAGTTCTTACTGTACAGTCACGTCACAACGCGATGTGAGCATCGCGTCAAGTGCTTGCGCAAGGTATTAGGACAGATAAGGTGGTTTTGAGACGTTAAACCCCTCATATCAACTACTGAATCAATCATGCTTGCACAGTTGTTCCACTCAGCGACTCCGTTGGTGACGCACAAGCAGCCCTATGAAAAGTTTCGGTCCCTAACGTTGTTACAACTAGCCAGACTGCTGCGTGAAGTCAGCAGAATTAGTCCTGTAGCCTGATGCCAAGCTAGTGTCGATGTTTTCGCCATAAGAAAATTGACCTCAATATCCAAATAAAATACCTGATTATATTTGATGAGCTTTGTACTAGCTCAGGGCCATCTCTGTACGCAGGAGATTTGTATGGCAGCGTAAATTCATCATAAAAAACTGGTGTCAGTACCCCTTTAACGCGCAAACAGAAATGTATGGTTTGTAAAATTATTTATTAGGCTTACTGTGTTGGAGTACCTTTACTATAATAACAGTAATTTTGTCTAGGAAGTGAGGGGAGTGTTTTAAAAGAGGGAAGAAGGATTGTTTGTTTTACGGTATTCTTGAGCCATTCATACAACACTCACCAAATTATTAATGCGGCCTATACGTCTCTGGCAGCTTTGTGTTTTTCGGTGCCTCCCAACTGTTATATCAGAAGCATTTATGTTTTGCTGTGCATCACAGAAACGTTTCACTCTATGTTTCAGGGTAGACGCGCTCTTATCAACGGATCGACCAATGAAAAAGTCTCTAACCCAAATATTAGGTTTGGAATATGCGCTCCGTCCACTTGCTCAGCGAATGACTTGCAATTCATAACAACCAAAAGTAAGTAATTCAGATTGGCTATTTGAGTTAATTGAAATTGCTCAGATAATAATAGCAATGTGTGAATTTAATGTACGCTAAGATGTCATACCGTTCGGGTTTTGCGATCAATTGTGCGTATAACGGATGCGTGTTCGGTGCCAACGTGAAAACCTGTGGGAAGTGCACACTATCTGCCGCCCCACGTCTGTGCTATGTTTACTTTGGCATACGAAAATTCCCCGAGTCTTTAAGTCCCGACTTGACTTACTCAAGGTCACGATGGAAGCATACTTTAGGTGAGCGAACGCCGCGGAGCGATCGCTTGGCGGGGAAGGACCGATTACGTTCTAATTTACGGCATGAGATAGAAGGCTCGCCGGACTGAAGACCGCGGCGAGCTGCTGGCTAATTCTGCAACGCACATCCGGCACGTGGGTGACGGTTTCCAAATCTGAGAAAACTGGGTTATCGCGCGATATCACCCACGCGACACGCATAAAGCGGTGCCGCTAAAGGGAGGGTGATAAGGGAGGAGGTGGACAGTGCAGCGAGGGTGTTGTGACGACGGTAAACAAGCGCCACTACTTTTCTACGTAAGGGGCTTTCCTACATCGAGAGGGGGGGGGGGGGGGGGGGGGAGGCCGGGGCACAAAACTCCTTGATCTTGGGAAAGTAACGACACTCTCCTCCACGTGCGCGTTTCCTCCTTGATTCTCCTCGCCCGCTTACCGTACGCGCGGCGCGTGGCGCCATTTTTCGCGGATGCTCCCGCAGGCGCGCCGCAGAATTCAATGGAGGCGGGTTATTAGCAGCCTCTTTTTCCTAATTTTTTTTCAAAGGAGAATAATAAAACCAAGAATACTGAGGCAACCATTTATCAAACGATTAGCTTCTTCCGAAGGTCGTATGAGTGGGCCATGCTAATTAAATAAAGGTTTTTATGGAAAGTTCTACGATGCGGATGTTTTTCTGCCGCATAATAACATGCTGTACGTTTGAATCTGATATAGTTTCGCTTGTGGCATGTCCGTCTGTGTTGTGATTTTTTTTCGTGCTTGTGAGCCGGTATACGACACAGGTATACTTACAGCGTCCCATATTACAATGACTTCGTGGATGGGGGAACGTTTAAGCATGTGTTCATCTACTCGGCGTGAAAGTAGCTTTGCGCAGTGGTCTCCAAACTGAAGAAACCCTTTGAGCAATGCCAGTACCATTAAGTATCACCAAGAGTGACTCATCTATCACAATAACAGAAACATAAGAAAGTGAATAGTTAGAACTGTGTTTTGACGTTGTTGTCATAGAAACTAGCAATCAGGTACCCTGTCAAAGGATAAACAGGAAGGTCATCATAATCTGCGCCTCGATAGCGACCAGAAAATCTTATCCGGACTGACTGATGCCGGTCAGAAGTAAACATGTGGCACTGGTATAAAAGATACTATAGTTTCTTATTGGTGAACGGAAACATGCAGGTGTGACGAAAACGATTGCGGCCATGGTCTCCTAGAAAATGGATCACTTTCGCTGTCACTGTACTATAGCTTTTTTTTTTCGTTGAACGTCAGTGTTTCTTTCCTTCTTTCGATCAACCGCATCTCTTTCATAATTTTTGTGTGTTGGTACACCCCCCCCCTCTCCAAAAAAATGCCCCTAAGGAAACGAGCGTCAATAAGTGTCATCTCGAGTCATTCATTCATTTGTTTTCTCCAACAAACGTTTTCGTAAACGAATCCTAACAGTCAGAAAAAGTGCAATCGAGAAGCTGTGTCAACCCACGTAGTTCGCAGTGAAAGCGGAATACAGTTGTGGATTTTCGACGATTGCCGAGGTGGGTGCGATATGATGAAGTATAAGCAGAATATTTTTATTTACTTTATTTATTTATTTAGACATACTGCAGACCAGCGTTTTGGTCCAGACAGGAGGGGCATAGGAAACATGAAGTGATTCGTAACAGAAAAAAAAAACAAGTATCTGTATGTTAACAGAGGTCACATGTCTTTGAAACAGCAACAAAATTTAAAACACATTTGCACACTCAAATCTTCAAGTAGATAACTTTCCAGCCCGAACCCGAATATTACCGGGCAGCGGATAGTCCCGGCGTTCACTCGCCTAAAGTATTCTCGCACCGCGATCAAGGCCAAGTAGTGTATCAGCTGGCATGAGCTTCCTGAAGATGTTGATTGTGTTTTCTGATCCGCCTCAAGAAGCTACATTACAGTGACGTCAGCTGTTCAGGTGAAATCTCTGCTTGAAGTTGTGTTCCCGAATACTAGGCTTATGCCGCTTTTCTGTTCAGAATATTGATAGTGTTCATATGGTCAGTTGTTAAGCTAGTTGTTACACATTACGAATTAGGACAATTTTTGTAGCGAAGTGAACAAGTTTTTTGTACAGTATCTATAGTGGTTGTTTTCTTGCGGCCGAATTTATATTCACTAAGAAACCTCAATTGTCGTGTAGGTGGTAGCAATCATTCGAATTGTTCACAGGAATTATTAAAAAAAAACAGGTTTGCGTACATGATGATATCTTGTAAGTGAAGTAAAATCTCGGCCACCTGATACTAGGCCGACAAAAAAAAAAACTGCTTAAAGGGCGAAAAGATGTTTTTATTTACCAAAACGAAAAAAAAACAGAACCTTTTTTAGCTTACGAGGACTAGTTATGCCGCAAATTCATTCTTCGACGTCTACGTTTGTTTTACTTGTTTTGAAAGGAAAATCTGGACGTCTGGGAAAAACATTTGGCGGCCACATCTCCATAGGTTTGAAAGGATTGACGCTTGAGCAAGTTGGTGGGGATTCATGTCAAAAAGTGATAACAGCGCATAGAACGATTAAGATTAATCAATCCAGCCATAGGCTGGTTGAAAAGTGGAGTTTACTCAGACTCAAGAAATATACTTTACCCTTAGGGCTCACTCGGACTCAGACTCACGAAAACTTTCTTCAGAGGGACCCTGTTAGACTCAGACCCACAAAAATGTTCCGTAACCAGACTCCCTCGAACTCCAAATCACTAAAATAGTACACATCAGAACTTGCTCAGACAGATTAACAGCCCCATCTGAGGTTGAGTGAGTCTGCCTTGATGGACTCATGACTGACTTTGCCCACCTATGCACATCCCTAATGCACAGTCCAAAGTAATATGCTCGCTTACGACAACCAGCTTCTACTACACATTAAGCCCAGCATTTATATTTACATAGCAAACTACTAGATTTGTCAGTGAACTCCATATGAAAAGGCTCGATGTCTGGGGTGATGCAAAGTGCCAAGCGGCGACTTCACTATTGCTTCGGTAGCTTCCGCTCCAGCAATCTCCAGTTTATCCTTCTTCGGCCGCACGCGGTGATCAGTTTATGTTAATGCGAAACTGCCCACACAGTGCATATCAATGAATGTTTGCTGAATGTGTGGACGGAAACTGATCTGTCACTTGTGTAGGAGTGGGGGAACAGCAAGAGCTCATGTGTAGTTGTGTTTGTTTGCGACAATAGCTATACGCACCTGATGCAGTCACGTGTAAGGTAGAGTGGGATAAAATGCGACAAAAATTTTACAATATAGAAAATATTTATTTTTACTTCACTCCTTACTAATAAACATCAATGCTGGAACTTTCCTTTAGGTACAAGGTATGTAGAGTATATTGCCATGTTGCCACTGTTCTGATCATTGTTTTAAAATAAAATAAAAAAAATCCTCCAGATGCCTCATTTTGCCCCAACCTGCAGGGCAAAACGAGACGCTGCGTGGAGCAAAACGAGACACTGAAAAAATTCATTCATGTAGTTTTTGCAGTAGGAAGACTTGAAATTTACCCTGTGGGCACTTACACGGTCTTACAGTCCTTGGACTCCATGGATATAATCTAAACAGAACGCGGTGTTGTGTTGCTCTGAAACTCCTAAAAGATCAAAACACCGCCAGCATTTCTTTGTGCTAATGTTGTGTTTTGTTGAACGCTTGCACCTCGTTGGATTATTCGTGAATTGGGGGCTAGATATGTTTTGATGTATCTTCCTCACCTTTTCTGCCGTTTTGATGCAGAACTTCTCAGACATTTCATGGCTTTTAACATCGTTCGCTGGATTTTGTGAGGCAATGAATTTAAAACTGTGATAGATTCAGAAGTTTTCTAACGCTTTTTTTATTAGGGTATTGGAAAAACCTTTTTGAAACTCAATTCCAAGACGTGTTTGTGCACGACTTGACTTGGAGATGCCGGAAATTTTTATACGTCCTGTTGGGACTCCGGGTCCTGCCGGTCTCGTTTTCGGTAGCTGGCCTCGTCACAGGATCCATCGTCCAACAATTCAGCGAGAAAGAAGCGCCCGAACGAACAACAGAGATTTATTTACATGTGGAGAAGTGGTCAACTGACCCAAAGAGAGAAGAGTGAGTGTGATACAAAACGTCTTCGGCATTTTATAGCGCCGCGCCGTTGACACTGGGCGCCCCGTCCGCATCGTCAGCCAATACGGTGTCTCCGGCACCTCGGCCACGAGAGAGGGGGAAACACACCTCACAACACATGGAGTGGCACCACCTAACACGAGGTCCATATATGGTCACGGCGCCCTAAAATGTTACCAAACATGGTCACGAACGCACAGCAGACCCCGGAGCTCTCCCGGCGAGGAGGAACCCGAATGGGGAGGTGGGGGTCGACGACACCGTCGGTCAAGAGCCGGTTCTCCCCCAAACTCTTCCTGCTTGGCTCCCCAGGGCCGGTCGTAACAGTCTCTCGCGCGGGGGGGGGGGGGGGTGAAGATCTCGATGGGCTGAGGTTTGCAGCCACTGTCTGGAGAGATCAGCGCCGGCAGTCGGTTTGGTGACGACCGTCTTTGATGAAGTAGAGGGCAACACCTGCTTCATTGAGGGCTCAACAGACATCACATACGCCACATGAAAACACAACTACTCAGCCGGTGAGCGCCGGACAATTCCGCCAAACTCCACCAGGCAATTTTCCCCTTTAACTGATATTAAAGGAAATAC